CCTGCCTGCCCCTTGTTCCCGGTAAAGATTTATGAAAACGCCGCTGCTGGTGAGTACTTGACGATCATAATAACCCTTTTCTTCCCTGCCATAATGAATATTTCGGTCGGAAATAAAATAGCTTCATTCCTGCTCTTTAATTCTAATCGTAACTATCATGGCTTCATAAAGAGCAGCAACACATTGCCCATATCACCAGCACCACCTCTTGCATATTAGTGTCCCCTCCTTCACCTCTCGAGGCCATCATCACCATCACTCCCTCATTATTATCCTTCCTACTACCACCATCATCTCCCTCAATCATTAGTGTTACCACCACCATCATCATCACTCCATAATTACTGCCATTACCATCACCACTCCCTTGTCATCAGCGCTATCACCACCACTCCCACATCATCAGTGGTTTTCAGCCTTGCCACTGCTTCCCTATCTCGTTCCTAATCCCTAATCCCAATACGTCCCTGTGTTTGGGGCCGCGGGCTGCTCACTCCCTCAGGACAACCACGGCTTACTCTGCTAAACCTTGCCTGGGTCACGTTCCCTCCCTACCCCGCTGGTGTTGTGTGCGAACAAACAATGTGGATGAGGTGTTATTGTTTCAAAGTCCCCACGAGAGCATCGCTAGAGCAAACTACAGACATTAAAATATAGAGAGAGAGTTCTAAAAAAAATATATGTTAATCTATATGAACGGACAAGTTAAATTCGTTCTCCGGCAAATCAGTCATCGGGCGGCATTGGCGTTATAGAGTAAATCTATTGATACATCGGCGTTTGTTTATTGGAAAGGGAGATGAGACAGGTGGAGTGCGGGTGAAGTGCGCTTGTGTCAGTCTAGCAACAGTACGCCTGTGTAGAGGGTGTCACAGGTGCGCTTGCGTGAAGTCTGACATCACTGACAATGCATCAATGAAGTCAGGGAGATTGGCTGACAGCGGTAACAAGAGAACATGAGTATTAAAAATGTGAGCTTGACCGGACACACTGCACACCTTCAGCGGCACGAGACCCAGTCTGCTCGCTACGTGGGTCGAGAGACACTTGATCTTTTGTGCTCCCTCTTGCCTCGGGTGACAGAGAACTTTATCAACATTTGTGTTCCTTAACATTTCTTTGTTAATGATAATAGAGTTTCCTCGTATTTTATCAGATTAGATCTATAATGAATCTCTGGCGTAATGAAATGTACGTTGTAATATTCCTTGAAATTATTATGACTGTAGAGGTATTATGATATCGCAAGAGGTAAATTTATGTTTGTTACTGGACATGGCATGTTTTTTTCTGAATATACAAAGGATTTATCAAATGTTATTCTTCTTTTTGATTTGATATATGTTTAGATGTTTGGTAAAAAATGTCTCATAAATTTTATTATAATGGAAATTTTAAAAATACATATATTTACTAAACATGATTTGCTTTAAGTATCATATATTTCTACATGTTTCATATAAACTGTCCAATAAAAAAAATAAAATATGGCAAATTCCTTGAAACACAATGGTTTCGAATTGTTATTTAACTTTAAAAATAACCACCAACATTACTTGCCTTATTTGTATTACTGACAAGAACGCTTGTCCCTTTACGCATACATATCAGCCTTGCGATGTATTTTAGATACTTTATCGATCTTTAATATGACAGCAAAGTAATATTTTTAAATAATTATTTAAACTTCCATATCATGTTCCCAATCCGTACTTGGTTTTAAGGGATGGATGGAAACCTACTCAAGTGCAAGGCAGGTACACCAAGAAACAGACGGGGCCCCACAAGGACCTGGACACCTTCTACAGCGTTCCCCTCGCGCACCTACTCAGGATGATCTTCGTCTCCCTCGCCTCCCTTCGAGTGGTCGCGATCTATGGGCGCAGCGAGTCTACTCCCATTTCTTTTTACTTTATTTACACTGCGAGGTACCTTCATCCGGCACGTGAATCGATCAATCGACTTGTGGACATTGTTACGGAGTCGCGGCGGCCCGTGTGGCCGATAGAGAGGCATTGAGGCGTGAGCGTGACACCAGGACATATTACAGGGGCGTGAGAAAACCAGCGTGTCACTCCCTCACCTCATGTGAACACAGAGAGCGAGTACAAGGAGCAAATATGAGGTGGTGGCGCGGCCCGCTACTCCACCACCACCACGGCGGCCACCACCGCCTCCTCCTCCTTGCATCGATCCCGCGCTCGAGTTCGGTAATATATTTGGGGGCGAGGATGTTGATCGCGCTGCTAATTGGGAGTCTGAGAGGTCCTTTTCCCTGTGCCAGCGCCTCAGTGCCAATCTGGCATCGGTCTCGACTCAAGGGGGCGGGGAAAAATATGAATTATTGATTCATATTACCGACATGCGCACGGCAAAGCATATAAAAAGACGGCATTTTTACGGTGAGTCTCAGAGCCACACGGGGCCTTGAGGGGTCGTGAGGGGGCCCCGGACCCCTTGAGAGCCCCTAAGGTGCCCCTCAGGTGGTACTCGGGCTTACCTGTGAAGCTGGCGTTGGGTAGGTGTAGCCGAATTGGGTGTAGGCAGACATGGTTTTGTGTGAAGGATCCAGCCCTACGGTGATATTGTCCACTACCGCCTGTAGGCCTGATCTAGCGCACTTTAGTGATGTGTATGTTGCAAAGTGTTACTCTCACTAATTACACATTCCATCTACACTGGCCACCGAGCGGTCACTGGCCAACACAGGCGACACAACTGGTCACTGGTGTCCGACATACACAAGACTAACAACATACAACACGTCCTCCACTAACTCCATACAAGCGAGCCAATGGGGCGGGGCCTCGGCTCGCGGGGTGGAGCCTCGCGCTGGGGAATGACGCGGATTGGATCGAGCGCCAGCCCCATCTCTCTCTTTTAACTAATCTTTTCGCTGATTGGCTCTTCTATGATTCGAACGCCTCCTATTGGTTACGCCTCACTGGCATCTTGGGATGGGACAGAGAATGAGTGGAACATATCGTAGGACTGTCTGCCTAATATTTTCGACATGTGTTTGGCAAACAGAAATACACAAGTACACTGATTTTTCATGAATGACTCACTTTGTAAATGACATTTTCAGATTTGTGACAGCTATCCGAGGTACTTAATGAATCAACGAATACCTAAAATAGTGAGGGGGGAAATGCCTCCACAGCCCCTGCCTGCACTGACCACTGAAGAAATGATAAGAAATAGCGACTTCACACATCCATTAGCGGGGAAAATGTCCGAATCCACTATTCGTGAATGCCATCGACGTTTATCCAAAGAGCATAAATCCAAGAAGTGACATTATCCCAGGACAGCAGTCTTAGCTGCAGATCTTCAGGTATTTCAGAATCTCTAGAGAAATGATAGCAAAACGTCGGACCATGGCGTGACGCCCCAGAGACCTGAGAGAATGTCATTACAAACAGTACAAAACAACATTGCCTCTGTAAACACGCTGCTTCACAAGGTTTTACAATTTAGGGGAGGTTTTTTCCTTTGTATCCTTCTTGTTTTGTTTTAGATGTTACTAGCCAAAAATAAATGAGTAACTACTACTGAGAATGTGAGGCTTTTTCGTTATGATTTACCCAACGGATCGTCTGCGTCAGAATCATCTAGAAACATCACCAGACACCAAATGTAATTTCAGAATTATACGACAAAACATATGAAAGGAACGAAAGACTGTTCCAAATGATGCCCCAGTGAACATCAGATTCTTTTCTCTCAAGTGACTAGATAAAAATGTTCCCTTCTACACGAGAAATAGCGAAGCCTAATGTTCTTCCCGGTGATCATTAATTTGTTATAACGTCCAGAGCCGAGACGTGGACTCTTCTGGGTTACCTTCATTAGCACTTTTTCAGGTTGTTAATGCAAGTAGGGCTTCCGGGAGAATGAAGAGCAGGAGGGGACGGCGACTGGTTGGTTCATGTTCCGCAAGTGTTGTCAGGGGTACTTTAGTGTTAATAAGAGGATAATAGGATTAAGCTTGTTCAGACGACATGAATTTGTTCAGGTAATCTCAAGGCAATAGGAGAGTTAAGGGTTTGTCAATCGGTCAAGTTAGGATTGGTTATATTTTCCTGATTTTGAAATGCGTTCTTATGAGAGATTTGTTTTGTATTCCTGAAGTATCCTTTTCCTAAAAAAAATACTAAATATCGGAAGAACTGTAACTAGTGTAAAAGACACCGTCAGCGATAGATGGTATTTTGCGCACACATTTACTTTATAATCTTTTCATCTATAAACCGTTGATATGAACAATGCAACCACAAGTGTTGTTCTTTCTGTTATGCTAGACAGCTCACAGTGACATAATTTACGACTTAGTGAAACCAAAGAAAGCTGCACCTATGGAAGGAAGCATGATATATGTTGAAAAGAAAATAAAGCAAACAAGACTGCTGCATAAATATCTGAACTGCCACAGCCTTCGGTCCGACCTGCCGAAGTGCTGAGCATCGGAAAGGACCCGGAGTGCGGGTGAGGGGAGGATAGCGAGCGGCGCCGTGAGCACGATGTACCGGTGTCGGCAGGTCCAGCTCGTCTCGGGTAATCTCTCATGTGCTTGCTCTGTTCCCATCATGGAAAACTCCATAAATGCTTCATCATGCCCCTTTGGTATTTCCAGTGATGGTAGTAGTAGCCTCTATTCCCTTGCATATATTATAACACGCTAAACAATGCCTGTTCATTTTTATAAGAGTGGACAGTTCATACAGTCTAATAGAATTTTGTAAAGGTATATAAGCTTTATGAGCAGAATTCACACGCAATTCGGTCAAGGGAAGGACAACGCATGGATATATATGGATTAGTAACATTTACCGTCAACTGCACTCGTTCCGGAGGTTGACGAGTTTAAACCAAAGAAAGCTGCACCTATGGAAGGAAGCATGATATATGTTGAAAAGAAAATAAAGCAAACAAGACTGCTGCATAAATATCTGAACTGCCACAGCCTTCGGTCCGACCTGCCGAAGTGCTGAGCATCG